GTTACTTTATACAGGGTGTTTCCAAAACTCATCTCCACCCAACCTAAAAGAGGGTACTTCTACCCCTTGACCAGGCAGAGAGGGGCCACCCAGAACCCCCTCTGACAGGCGATCTGAATTCTTGCTTAGGCTGCAAAGCTAATTAAGCACTGCAAGGGAATATAAATAAAAGATAAAAATATCTACCTGGGTTCCCTGAGGGACAAGCCTGACTGCATAGGGGTTGATGTCAAAAGTATCCCCTCTCCAGGAAAAAGACATCAGGATGGGTATGGCCCTCATGCCTCACTGGACAACGACAGGGGGACAGGAGCCATTACAATGTCCCCTTCAAATACTGGAGGTCAGGCCTCTATCCCCGCCTTCGCAAGTTTAGAATTGCCACAGCCCTTCTATACTTAGAGAAGGGAGGAGATGTCAGGGGCAGCCCTGCTTATACACTGTAGGCCTAAAATCAGCCATAGGCCTAAAATCAGCAATAGGCCTATTATACATGTAAACTAACACCAAGTCTTGGGTCTCAGTGGAAAAACATTGAAACAGATGGCTATAAGCTAATCTCAGGCAGCTTTTGTGGAAATGTATAAGCCTGAGTAGTCGTAGACCTTGTAAATAGGTAGCCTTGGCAGACAATACCAACTTAGATAAGGTCAATCGAGTCATAGGCAGAGTCATAGTGACTTGTCCCCTGAACCTTCACCCAGCCGATACCCGGATCTGAAGATATCTGTATTACCCCTGAACACCCACACTCCAGTGTCATTCCCTTCCCCACATTCTGTCTTTCCGTGTTTATAACCCCTGAGTGAATTAATTACGATTTGAGATAAAAAAAAAAGACAGCAAAAAAAGAATAAAAATAAAAAAATAAAAATAATAACAAAAGAAAAAGAAAACAAAAACAAAAAACAAAAAAAAGAAACTGGGAGTGGCTTCTCATGAAATAAAATACACAGAAAAGCTAAAAATAAATAAATAAATAAATAAATAAATAAATAAATAAAAATAATAATAATAAAATTAAAAAAAACTAATTGACTTGCCCATGAAATTGCTCTGTACATAAATATCACAAGTCATCAGTCTGTATGACAGACAGCAGAGAACTATTAGGTGAGACAAGAATAAAGGGCAATTATTTTCTTCTTCAGTATCTCTATCTTCTGCCTAATGACCATGGACCCAAGAAGAGAATCAGTACAGAGTGGTATCTTCCCACTAATAGACAGACTTCCCAATTTCTTGCATCCTAACATGTTTTCATGATTAGTCAATATTCCCTAGCAACTGAAAAGCTGGTTTTCATTGGGTTCAGTCAGAGAAGCTGTCCTTTAAACCATACTCACTTTATGACCTTCTTACTGTTGGTTAGTATTGTCAACTTGACACAAACTATAGTCCTTTTTAAATAGGTAAGCCCCAAGAAAGGAATGGGCTTTAGAAGATTAGTAAGAAGGAACATCTGTGGGGTATTTTCTTAACTGCTAATCAATGTAAAAGATCCCAGAACACTATGTATGAGACCAAGGCAGGAGCAATATACCTTGAAAGTTGAGATTTCAGTTTGTAGTTAGGAGTGAGGTCCTGTTTGTTCTGTTTGTCCCAGTACCTTGCCCATTAAGGAAGTGCACTGTATTAAGTCCCTGCAAGTTATGGTTTCTACTTGCAATTACAAATAAGCTCCTTCTTCTTTGATGTAATATAAGCTGCAAAACACGTTTTCAACCTACACTAAACTTGATACCTCATTAACCTGATATATAATCTTCACTTTGTTCTTTCTCTTTCATTGCATGTTTCTAACATTATCTAACAACCATCTATCTGGCCCCTGTATGTACTTCCTCCCTCCCATAACAGAGACTTCAAGAAGCTTTCTGCAATCCGGACTTAAGGAGAAACAGCCAACTGACACCCTAAAACTAAAGCTTGCTTCATTCAGACAATTGTGAAATTGGTCTTCCCCTCACAACTGGCATTCTTCTATGATCTTTGCTTCCACTTCTGCCTTCAGTTCCTGTCTTGACTTCCCTCAACAATGGATGATGACCTGTAAGCTAGATAAGCCCTTTCTTCCTCAAGTTGCTTTGAGTCATGGTGTTTATCACAGCAACAGAAAATCAAATTACATGTTGAGACCAGTCTTCACCATGCTCTTATTTCTTCTACACTTTGAATCAAAGTTTACCTAGTTCTTCTTATTTGTACTTTCCTGAGTGGCAGTCTGCTATAAGGAACATCTTCTGAGCCACAGTGCTACTGTCTTTATAAGAGCAGCTATGCCTATTTGTGAAGGTCCATCACAATTGGGCTTCAAAACTGTTGGTTTTACCCACTAGCAGAACTGGGTAGGGAAGATCATTAGAACCTCACCTGAATTTCCAGCCACTACTCCAAGCCATAGATATGTAGTTTTTCCAAAATTACAAGTAGCTTAAGGAGTCTTGGGAAGTTCTATAATACCAGCTTGGAGACATTAACTGACAGGGAAAACAAATATGTGTACATGCTGAGTGCAGACCCACCAGCATGGCTGTTGCAGAATCACTGGTATTCTTGCCCAAACTCACTGGTTTTCTCATTGCAAGCTTTGGTGGAATCAAACTTTGGTTTGTCATTGGATTTTGGGAAACATGCCAAATCAAGCCTTTCCCTGGAGCTCTAATGTATTGAAAAGGAACTTACTTGCCAAAGCCAGTGTAATACTTTAGTGTCCAACCTTGAGGGAGCCTTTTCCTGGTATTCTGATGCCAGATATAAAGAATGTAATTCCTTGTCTAAAACCAGGAATATGCTTAGCAAGACCAGTAATGGGGCTAGGGCTTTAAGGAAGGTGTGATTTTTAGATCTTGAAAACTCACCTCTTCCCCCACTGAAGGGCTTTAGTATCAGCCCCAAGGTCACTATGTGCTCAGTCTCTGAGCACTTGCGATATCCTGTGTTCCCTTTGAGCAACATTTCTTGGTTAATATTCTAATAACTTGGTCTCAAGTATGATGGATTTCTGCTGATTGTCATATTTTCTCATGAAAACTTTATATAATATGGTATATTTCTTAATGAACTTCCTTTGTATTCAGAATCAGCTTATGAAAGTTGTCCCATCAAAATGTCGAGACTGCCAGATTTTCCAGTGCTGTTTGAATAGAGAAGCTGACCCTGTACCTAGAATTTGTAACCTCCCACTTCAAACTCAGTGTTGTTTGCATCAAAAGGTCCTCAGCTGGGTCTTAATGTCTAAATAGATGAATGTTCCTACTCCAGAACACATTTTCCCCATTGGACAATCACCCTCCCAATTAGTTAAAAAATAGCATGTCTATGCCTGCACTTATTACGTGTGCACATGCACATACACACACACACACTTTCCTGTCTTCTTTATTTTCTCATTCTGGTCCTCTCATTTAGGACTCTTGACACTAAAAAATAAATAAATAAATAAATAAATAAATAAATAAATAAATAAATAAAATAAAAAATAAAAAAATGGCCTGCTTGTCCAGAGCAGTTGAAACCTTATAAGGAAGTGGTAAAGGTTGTTCATGACTCCCTCAGGCAAAAATCCTCCAAACAGGGTCCTTTGCGGTCAGTCCTTGCACATCTGTCACAGGTTTTGTAGCTCTGGTTAGCTACACTATGAGAGAGGAACTCAGCCTTGCATATATAGCCTGTACAATTGTATATGCAAGGAAGAAAAGAGCCTAAGGTGAACCTCAATCTGATTTACTAACCAGTTAGTGGTCCTTCAGTTCTGTACCTGAGCACTGAGCAGAAGTTGAGCTTCAGCTCCGCACCCAATCCCACAAAACCCAGAGCCATCGGGACTCCCAGGAGCTCTAACCCTCCCCTCTGCAGGATCTTAGGTAAGGAGGCAGCAACACCCAACCCAAACAGGGAGTAACTGGGACCTATGGGGACCCAGGAACTCACTCCTGGTCAGGGGCACAGGTTCCTTCCAGTCTGCACCTGAGCACTGAGTAGATAGAGAGTCAGCTCTGCACCCAATCTCACAAAACCCAGAGGGGGCTGGATGCCCAGGGGCTCTAAAACACTCAGAAACATAGGATCATAGGGTCCCTGGCTCTCAGGAGACTGCTTACACCAGGATTTTGGATCCCAGAGGCAGCCCTATTCCAGGAGCTCTTATACCCAGGATCTCAGGATCACAGGATCATAGGGACACACCAACAGCTGGACTCTGAGGAGTTCTGACACAACCAAGAGAACAGGAAAGTTAGACAGGAGTCAGACACAGTGAGTGCAGTAGCACTAAAGATAACCAGGTGGTGCAAGGCAACCTAAAGAATATAAACATCAGCAACCAAGAGAACTTGGCATCATCAGAACCTAGTCCTCCCACCACAGCAAGTCCCAAACAACCCATCACACCGGAAAACCAAGATTCGGATTTAAAATCACTTCTCATGATGATGATAGAGGACTTTAAGAAGGACATAAATAATACTCTCAAAGAAATTGAGAACACAGGAAAACAGGTAGAAACCCTTGAAGAGGAAACACAAAAATCCCTTAAAGAATTACAAGAAAACAGATACCTAGCAAACCTGTTCTGTTCTGTTCTGTTCTGTTCTGTTCTGTTCTGTTCTGTTCT